ATATATGTGCACATAGATATACATACATACATATAATTGTATACGTCGAAGAATATAAAAGTATAGGCACCTTTGAAAAAAAGAACAGATATAATGATTATTATTGAATTTTTGCCAATTCTCTCCTGCCATTTCCTTTTCAATCCAATTAAAATATGTTGAATATTCCTATATCAATATTTTTTTATTTTTTAATTTACGTACCTATGGTTATATTCAATAGACTGAATTTTATATATAGATAATAAAATAAAATTCAATCAGTTAACTTTAGCGCGAACAATATAATCGACAATATAAAAAAAGAATGATTAAGATATTTATTCAATAAAATGTAAAGATGTTAAATATTTTAAATCTCAAGAAATGCTATCTATAGATTTTTTTATTAACTAATTAAAAAAGTACTTCGGATAATAGTGAAAAATAATATGGATTTTCATAAAATATTGTACTTAGACAGGATGGCTTCTGATATAAATTGCACCCTGTAATGTATTTGTGACTTGACTTTAGGATCAATTTCGGACTTGGACCAAATGAATTAAAAAATGAATTAAAAAATTTCTTTATATTTCAGAGGATGTAAATTTCGTTTCTTAATTTATATTCTTTTTTTATTTCTACATCTCTTATTGGAACATTATTAATTTCAGGAACTTTAAAGGTCTATTCTTAAAAAAATTTTTGTTATTTGTTCAAAAAAATTATTTAAAAAATCTTCAAAAATATTTATAAGGAGTTCAAAAATCTCAAAAATCTACATGAAAATCTCAAAAAATCTATATTAAAAATTTTTTAGATTATTTACCTCAAGAGTCCGAAATTGTTCTAAAATGAACTCTGATTCAAATTAATACATTCGGGAGTAAGTTAATTATATTTGGGATCATATTTACCCAAATGTTTTTCTGAAACTCCACATCATTTCCCAAAATCAAACTATCATCCCAAATACTTTCCTAGTAAAATAAACATTTAAATTTACAGATTTTTAAAGAATTATTTCTACATAATAAAATATATATTACAAAAGAAGGATTACTAATAGATTACTAATAGAAGTTTATATAAATATACACATGTTACATGAACGAAAATTTTGCTTTCGTAGTGTTTCGAGTTGCATACTCAGAAAACTAGAAATTCAAGAAACTGGAAATTCCAGACTCTCGCGTATGTTTTGAGCTTACCTATATGTTGGAATGCACCGGCTTTGATGCGCAACGCTAAACACGTACCACGGAATTCATCTCACGAACCCAGGGAGCTTTATAGCGAGACGCGAGATAGAGAAGAAGCGTCGCTTCCTCTTCTGTGAGCATCGTTCTTACGTAAACAGATCTTTAAGCTGGCCTTGCGGTGCCAACGTTGACGTATGCCACGCATTTACAGAAACTAGCAAAATGTGAGCTCACAACATTTACCCTTGCACATCTATGATAAACGTTTGTTGGAATTTCAAGAAAATAATAAAAAATGGAAAATTGTGTAAAATATGTGGAATTATCTAAATATGATGTATTTTTTATGAACATAATATAATTTTTACGGACATAATTTTCTCGATTAAAAAATAAAAAAGATAATTTAAATCTAATATTGTCTTTATGGAATTAAGGAAGTAATCTTTCATCAGTTTGAATATAATAATATCCTGTAAAAAATATTTTTTTCTCATCCAATCTCATTCACTAAGTTCACTAAAAATTAAATAATATAATACTAATTGAATAATTACTATAAATAAAAAAATTTATATTCTATAACAATAAAACTAATATAAAACTAATAATTTTCTATTTACAAAATTGCTTCAAAGTATTGCATTTCAATTTTTAAAGATAATACATCCTCCCAATTTCAAATTGGCATTGCCAAAAATTTCTTCTGAATAAGTTACATCAATGCATTGTACGTTTTGGATGAGGATAACACAAAAATCTCGTAGCGAGAGGAGCAAAATCAGGAGTGAGGCACGAGATCGTCTATTCTATGTCGGGGGTTCTCAACGTCGGGGGAACATATACGACGTAGGTATGTGTTTCTCGCTCTGAAAGCTATGAAGATAACGATATTGAATCGCAATGCTTTGGACATCGTCGTTCGACCGTCACGATTCGCTCGAATACATCCGACTGACCCGCTTCCGGCATCGCTGGGGGAATCCTGAGAAATCCTGGCAGACGAAGGACTGTTGCAATCGACTTTGACACCTTAGGTGTATCATAAAATGAAAAATCAATTGAAGTCATATAGGATGGTATGAAGAAATATTTTCACTTTAGTATATTTTTTTGTTATATATCTATATTTATTTCTTTATCTTTTTATCAAATAACTAATGTACAGAGTTATTCAATTAGATAAAAAATATATTGAATTATATGAATTCTCATACGTCTATATTTTTATACGTATGCTTTACAAATAAAAACCCAAATTTTTCTTATTTTGATATAATTTAATTTAATTTTCAACGTTTGATATTATTTGCATATCAACGCTAGTGCTTTATTTCGTCTTCTGCAACTATTACACAACTGCAACGGACAGCTTAAGTTGTGCAGCGAATGGCGGGTAGCAACGGCAGGTGCATCGTCTTTCGTCTTTAATAACCAATTCGTGCAGCCGTCAAGCTTTCGAACTTGCCACAAAAGCTCGATTGTTCCGTAGAACATCGGGAGACGTAAGAACGAATTCACGAATCTCTCGCGAGACTCCGCCAATCGAAAACTGCATAATATCGCGAATATTAAATTTTTCACCCTATTTTCTTCCATTTTTTTCCATCTCCCTGTTTCCGTGCCGCTACTTGAAATGCTTTTTTTTAATATGTGTCCGGAAAATATTAATAGTTGCTTGAGCTTTTCGTTTACATTGATTAGATCGTATTTGTAAATAAAATATCAAGAAAAATTTAAAAGAAAATTGTGACTTTTTAATATTCTTTAAGATGATATTGTATTATTACATTTTATAGAAAGAAGACATAGATTAGATATAATTAAACATCTTATTATTCTTTTAATTATATTTTAATCTGATACATATTTTAAAGAAGCGACACATTCGACATACATATTATAAAGAAATATTAATTTTATATTTTTTTATAAATTAAGAATTTTGCACGCACAAATCTGTCATTTAATATTATCGAAAAACAAAATTATCTTTGAAAAAAAATCGATACACTGTCTTATAAAATGATAAGTATAACATCTGTTTTTATCCTGCAGGAAAAATATTAAAGAACTAATTTAACTTATAGTCGAGCTTAAAGAAATTAATTGCAGTGCAGCGTTCACATATAAATATAAAAGTTGGGTATAAAAAGATTAATTTCTCGCGCGGCAAACAGTTGTGGCCAACGCAATAAATGTGTCGAAAGGCCGGGTGTCCTGCAAGGCGATTGCGTCGGCATGCTAGAGGACGATAGACGGCCGATTGAAATGCAAATGGTGGCGGTCGACGTTATTTCGGCCCCGGTCACGTGTACGTGT